TGGATTTCATTTTGCTGTAGCTGTTGGCACAACGGAATCCACATGGTCTTTCACCCTCTTTGGCACAACCCTTTCTCTCTGCAGGATGGAGAAAGCCTGATGCAAGGGACTGTGATGCAAATGTTGGTACTTAAGATCTCCATCACAAGCTGCAGTAACAGAGGTGTGTGCTGGGTCTGGAGTGATGGGCTGGGAAGGAAAGAGATTTAATGCTGGTACTGTCTAAATTGTGGTTTACTAGTTGTGTCCTGGTATTAGTAGTATATGATAGCCCTTAGGTCTGCACAGGGATGTTCTGTGTGCAGGATAATACACAATTTCAATGATTCTATGGTCTGTGCTCAGTATGGCTGACAAGACAGAGCACCCAAGAGTGGCATGTCCATGTATTTCCCTTCCTGTCTTGTGCTATCCCTGACAGCTCCTGGATGCTGCTGCTCAGTTCTGCGCAGTCAGACTCTGCTATTTAGGAATGGCACTGAAGCAGCATTATGTTTGCTTTTCCTACTCAAAATGCATATCCTCCCTTTCCTTAAAGCTGCAGAGGGAGTGGGGTTGCATGTGCAGAAGGCCTCTGCACCCAAAGCCAGGGAGATTTTTCTCTCTCAGGACTCCCCTCTGTAAAGCATACTCCAAACTGGCTCCTTTGGTGGCAAAGGTGTCAAGATGATCCCCAGCAGAAGCCCAAGGGGGATATTGGGATACATTTATTTATTTGTGGCATATCCTCTCAGCTTTGGTAGTGAAGTTATTAAAATGAAACTTGTCAGCTCACTGAAGAGGGTTGGGGGGCCTTTGCATCTTCCATGCAGTTTGATCCTGTGTGGCTCGTTAACACTCAGTTGCTTTTGTGATTAATTATTTAGTCTTCTCCCTTGGTACTGGGGTATAATAGCACAACCCCCATTTCTGCTGAGATTCACAGTTCTTTGCTTTTCCCTTCAAGCCTCTCACACCACCCTGAAGCTCAGAGCAAGGCTGTCCAGGCTGCAGCACTTAAAGAGCCTGGCAGCTCCGGAGCTGCTGCTCATCCTGTGGCACTGCAGGGAAAGGACTGGGGCTCAGCCCATGGGTGGCCATCAGTCCCAGCTCCTGCACTGGGCAGTGGGGACCATGGGACAGCTGCCCTGAGTGCTCTGTTCCTCCAAGAATGGCCTCTCACTCCAGCAGATACTTGTGCAAGCGGAGACATCAGACAGGGCTGGCATTGACTCTGTGTGCAGCCAGACACAAGAATTGCAAATTGGAGATGAACTTGTCAGCAGGGAGATTTTATCTGGGGAGTCAGCCTCAGCAGCCTTCTTCCCTTTCTCTTTTGGATGCCTTTTGAACAGCTTTCAGTTCAAGTTTTTGTAATCACCCAAGCGTTGCTTCTTCAGCCTTTTGTTTTTGGGGGTGTTGCTCATTGCCTTGATTTGCTGTCTCTGGTCATTTGTGCAAAGAAGTTTGTCAGGTCTCAGCACGAGGCGGGGGCTTGTGCCCATTATGGGGCAGGTGTGGGGTGACCCTGAGTGTGTTGGCCTGTGATCACACACTGGATGTGTGTGGACAGGCATAGGGTGAATTTGGGCCCAGTGGGTGCTGTCCTTGTTACTGGGGTTGTGTTTCAAAATGGGTGAGCTGAGAGTTTGGAACACCTGAACCTGTCCTCGAGGGCATCAAGGCCATGGATCATGTGCAACTGGTGGCCAGTGCAGGGCTTGCAGGAACCCCCAGTGCTGGAAAGCACCTTCTTCCTTCCCCAGCTGGCCCTGGCTGTGCTTCCTGTGTGAAGCTGCTGGATAAGGCAAAGCCTGGGGTCTGAATAATTACTGAGGAATTAGCTGTGTTTTCTTTATGCCACAGCCTCTCCCCTTCCTCTGATGTTTGCATCCTTTTCCTTTCATCTCGTGCCTCTGTGGCAAGTGCCTTGCACAGCCATGGGATGCGTGGGAGGCTCAGCCGAGGGGCAGGCAGGCACATCCCAGTGCAGCAGGGGCTGGATCTTGTTCCCACCCTGCAGATGCTCCAGATGTAACTCAGAGGGTGTGAGTTTGTCCTTTGCGCTGCTGCAAACTCCCTGTCTGCTGCTAGCTGAGCCACTCTCCCCTCAGAGCCATAAAACAGTAAAGTGCCAGCTCCCCTCCCCACCAAAGATGTTGGAAAACCTAAGAAACTGATGAAGCATTAGTCTTGGTTTCTTTATGTTTTATTAGGGCCCATAAATTAAATGGAAACTCACAATAATGTGGAAGAGAGCCAGGGAGAGCAATTATTTGTCAGAAAGACAACATGACTAATGGCTTTGCTACGTGTTAATTGAAAGCATTGGAAATTTTAGCAATGTAACACCTGAAGGCAGCTGGTACACGAGTGTGTAGAGCAGACTACAACAGGCTGCAACACTCACTCCTGTTTAGGGAGATCAGTAGTAACCAAAAATTGTGGATCAAAGAGCATCTTTAAGACTTGGAGCCAAATGATGGAGCCACAAAGCCCCAGATCTCTGCACAGCCCCAGTCCTCTAATGTCCCCCTGTTTAAAAAGCTGAGGCTCCTGCTTGCAGACCAATTTGCTGTCTCTGAGTGCCTGTGCTGCAGCTTCCCCATAGGTTATAATTTTGGAATTTGTCCTCCCTTACAGATCCATTGGGCATATTTCACTTGACCTCCCAAGTCTGTACTTTGCTGTAGATCTGTGCAAATCCCTCCTTGGGGCTGCCAGTGCAGAGCTGTGGGTGCTCCTGTCCTCTGCCCAATGCCCAGATCACAGCACTTCCCTGAGGAGATCCCAGACCTCAGGCAGCTCCCAGGTGCTGTGTCCGGGTGGGAGCTCCTGCAGCAGTGCATCCCTGTGGGCTCCCACCACAGCATGATGGGGATTGTCACCATTGTTTGGGCAGTGTCACCGAGGCCCTCCCTGTCCCTGGGGCACATCCAGCTTCCAGGAAAGACATTTCCAATGGGAGAATCCCTGTGTGTGCCTCCACCTCCAGTGTCCATTAATAGCACATTAATAGCCTGCTGGGTCAGAGATTCTGAGGGTTACACATAAGCTGGAAAGAATCCAGAGCAGCAGCTGGACTGGCTGCCCTGGCAATTAGGTCAGAGTAAAATTTAAAGTCAAGCCCTAAAAGTGCAATCTTTTCAAATTTAACCAAATCTTGAAATTACATTGGGTCACACTGTAAGTATGGGTACACCAGGTATAGTTTTTTCACAACAAACCAGCATTTTAAAACTGCAGTATCATAACCATTGAGCCATATTGATCGTGTTATTTATTAATAATTACCATTTCAGGGTCTGGATCTTAATATATAGGCTTCAATTTATTCCACTGCTTAGTCTACTTAGTGCTCATGCAACAATTCATGTTACAGGGAAACTAATATACATAATAACTTGTGGGATTCACGCAGTTTATAGGAATATGTTTACTTTCTCAGTTTTCAAGAAATGAGCAAAATAGAAGGTAGTTCTGTAGTAAAAGAGTAGAGGAAGTAAGGAAAGTTAAAATGCATATTATATACAACATCTTGGTAAAGTCTCACAAAATCATTAAATAACTGAAATATCATTAAATTACTGAAACTATTTTATTTATATTATGTTGTTTTTTTAATGTGCTTGATTATATTCTGCAGTGCCCTGAGCACCTTGACTTCATAAATAAAACAATGATGTGGAATCTTCATAATATGAAAATTAATGCTTAAATGCTCAGAGACATAAACATTCCAGCAGTTTTTCTAAGGCTAGTGATAAGGGTTCATAAACACGTTAATTTTTCCACTCTTAAATATTTCGGGTCAATAGAGTACAAGAGGAGATGTTAACAAAACCTGTGCTCTTTTTATAAGAAACTGGAGTGTTTGGAGGGCAGCTGCTCTTCTGCAGCACTCTAATAACATCTCCAGATACCACAGCAGCAATAAAGCATGACAGGATTGTATAATTACTTGATTTATCACATTTTTAGTAACATGAAGAGGGTATGTTACAGCAGCCATTTAACCCATGCATCCTTTCAGAGCCTTGTGCAATTTGGGACAGTTACTGCAGAGGCCACCATTTATTGTTTTAGCCTCTGAACTCACCAGAACTCCTTTGGGGTGCTGCATGGAGTGTTTTTCTTCTTGGAAGGAGCTGGGAGCAGCACATGCACGTGTGCCTGTCCCACCTGCCTGCCAGGAGAGGCTTTGGGAAGGGGGCAAAGCCAGTTCTATGCAAGGCCATTTTAAATGTGCTCAGCCCAGTTTCCCTGCTGAGCTGATCTGGAGCCCTTACCTGCATCAGGTATGTGTTTTCCCCTAGCTCTGTGACCCGGGGGATGGGGCAGGAGGAGAACTCTGGGGTGGGACTGCCTTTGTGCTGAGTTTATATGTCTGGCCATCGGTGCTCTCTCCAGCCTGGGGTCAGGTCTCCTGAGAGCTGGTGTGGCTCTGATTTGTGCATGGAAGGAGCCACACATAACCACAATGTATCCCCCAGGAGGGAACTGCTCCGAAGTCCTCAGTGGCCAAAGACTGATCGTGGGATAACGCTGCAGGCAGTCTCGGAATGGACAGCCCCTTGCTGATTAGCACAGTGCAGGGAAAATGTGGGTTCTTCCCCGTTGTGTACATTTGCACATCTAATGATCACTTGGGTAGCAGACACGTGAAATTGGGTTGGATGGAAAGATTTCCAAAAGGATGTTACTTGACCCCTGCCTCCCACACATTCCAGAGCTTCTCGGTAGCCAGGAGGCGTCCCAGAAGAAGATAATTAGGCTTGTGCTATTTCAACTTCCTCTGATCCCTGAGAAAGAGTTAATTACAGTCTTTTCCCTCTTGCTCAAAGGTGGCTGGGTATTATTATCAGTGCTGTAATTATTCATGCTAATTGCTTATTTGGAGAGGGAGAGAGCATGAGAGAGAGAAGTCCCGGACTCCCCCTCAGTGATTAGCAGAGCAGACCAGGTGCACTTTGCGCAGGCTGGTCCGAGGCAGGGCTGGGGCTGGAAGGAGGTTGGGGATGCTGGAGCAGTTGTGAGTGAGCTGTGGAACAGCCCTGGTCCTGCTAATGCTGCCACCTCCTCCGGGACTGAGGAAAAAGAGCATGCACTTCTTGCAGACCTTCCTCTGGTGGAGGGCACTCCGAGGTAATTGTACTGCTAACTGGACTCTTCATTTGTTTTGTGGCTTAATTAACCTTTCATCATTTGTTTTGCTTTGATTAAAATCTCAGGGTGGGTTGTGAGATGCATGCCTGAGGTCTGTGATTAAGCTCATCTGCAGATCTTGCAGCTGATATTTCAATAACTGAACACAACTTCAACGATCCCCTGTCTGCCTCTGTGCTCCTGGGCTTGAGAGGGGATGGGGAAAAAGAGGTGGCATGTCTGTCCCCTTCCCCAGTTATGGGCTTTTAATTACAAGGCTGATTGCCTTTGGAGGCTTGTTCCTATTACCAGATCTGGGGCTTGCCTGTTAAAAGAAGTGGGTTTAAGCCTTGTTTGTTGGTGACTGAGGGTATCAGAAGTGTGATGGTCTTGATTAGATGATTTGAAAGAGCAGCACAGGAAAATTTAGCATGCTGCAGAAGCTGACACTTTATGGGAAAACAAAGTGGGAAGCTGTCTCCTTGGGCACAGCTGGAGCAGTTTGGGGATGGTGGTGTGCTGTGGCCAGGATGGCACACTGGCTTCTTCTGAAGTGACCAAATGGTTGGTGAGGTGGGTGCTTGTTGGGAGAACTTGAGTCATCCCTGAGAAGTAATTATTTTATTTGCCTTTATTTTTTCCTGGAACAGCTGGACTTTGTGTTCTGCCTGACTAGGGTTGCTGACTGCTCCTGGTATCTAATCCCTGCATGAGTCAGTGCAGTGGTGAGCAGTCTGCTGTGGCAGTGGGCTGTTTTCTGTTGCTCTTTCTGTTTTCCTTTAAGCATTTGATTCCTGCTGTTCTTAAGGCTGAGGAAAACAACCTTAAGAATTGCACTTATAGGTGACGTAAACTATGCAGGTTTTAACAAAATAACTGGAAGTAGTTGCCCCTGCCAAATACCTTAAGATGTTCCTCTGTCCTTCTATAAAGGTGTCTGTGCTGTCCTCCTTATGGACAGCAGCCATGTGCTGTGCTGAAAGCCAAACGCACTGCTCTGCTTTCTAGAGATCTAAAATTATGATCCATATGCTTTAACTTCCTAACTGCCCACAATATGTTTTAATGTATTGAATAAGCTTTTCATCTGGATGTTTTACTACTTACTTAAATTTTGCAGGCTTTCCATGTTCCCATCCTCTTCCTGACAGAAGAATTGGCTGGGGACAGAGCACTGCTGCAGCAGGGACTGCAGTCATCCCCATCCTCTGGGGTGGGAGGCAGGGAAAGGGCTGGGGAGATGTTTCCTTGTGAGTATCAGAGAAGTTTGGTTTGACAAAGAGATCAGAGGCTTGGGTCACTGTTCTAACAGGTACTGTGTTGCTGAGCCTCAGCAGAAGGTTTATTTGTAGTTTTCTAAGCCTTTTGCATGTTGCATATTGAGAAAATTGTTCACTGTCAAGAAGCCACAGAATCCAAATATGCAGCAGTGATATACAATAGAAATTGCATTTAGTAACCCAGTTCATCCAAATCTGGATGCCCTAAAGACAGCAAACTTTTTACTTTGAAAATCTGTAGGAATTAAGAGTCTTTTTACTTCCTGAAGCATCTGGCCAAAGTGCAGTGATACATTTTAATTTTTTTTCTTCTCCCCATATTTTCTGACAATTACAACTTCATCCTTTGCTTCTTTGTTCCTAAGCTCTGTGTATGAGCACATTATCCAGGTAATTATTACATACTGCTTTCTGTTATCCAGCTAATTACAACTTACCCTTTCCTATGGACCTTCGATTTCCCAAACACCTCCTAAATAACACTGTTGTAGAAGATCAATGTACTTTTGTGTGCTCTCATAGCAAACCTCCCACGTCCTGCCAGCAGCCCTTGCTGCCTCTGTGCCTGTGGTTTATTCTTTGTGGTGGAGTTGCAGGGCTGTGAGTGAGTTGACTTTCTGGCACCTGTGTCACACACTAGTTCAACTCCATGTACACATTGCCTGGGCAGGTCAGAAATCTTCAGGTTTTTAGACCTGATCTTTGCATTACAGGGGTTAAAGTGTGGTATGCTGCTACTATCCAGGAGAGGGATCCTCCAGAGGAATGTGCTCTGGAGAATACCAAAGCCCATGGGAGACGGTGATCTCCCTAATGAGGGAAACACTCCTGGAGCACCCACACATGGCCACAGTGTGTGCCTGGCTCTCATTGAGATTGTGGGCCTCTGCAGGAACAGAATTTTCTTTGAAAATCTCTGCAGTTCTTATCTTTTTTAAGTCATAAAGGGATTCCTTCATGGATTTTTGTGTTCCCTATTTCTACTTGGACATCAGAGTTAGAGTATGTAGGTGAGGGGAATCCTTAAATATTACTGGAATTTTCCCTGCAGGAACAGAATTTTCTTTGAAAAATCTCTGCAGTTCTTATCTTTTTCAAGTCATAAAGGAATTCCTTGATGGATTTTTGTGTCCCCTGTTCCTACTTGGATACCAGAGTTAGAGTACATAGGTAAGGGGAATCCTTAAATATTACTGGAATTTTCCATTAGGCTGTTGTTAGTAGGGAAACAAAAATCGTGTAAGATGCTGTGATCGTGATGTCTCTGCTGATTTGTGCTAATGCTGGCTCTGGACTGACTGGGGTTAAGCTATTGCACTGCTGTGGTTTTCATTCCTGTCCCCCAGGAAGAGAAGTGACATGGCTACCAAGAGCAACTTGTCTGCTCAGTGCTTGGTGTTGGGAGCCGATGCTGGGCTGTGTGTGTGTGTGTTCAGTGGCTACAGGGTAACCAACAGGATCCTGGGAATGTTAACCACTCTATTATTATTATTATTATTAGTTCCTTAAATATGTGGAACTAGCTGAGCTTGTGTGTCATAGGAAGAAAGATGTAGCATGTCCAACATGGGACAACACTGTTGCCCTTGACCTGCTGACATCCAGATTTCTGGGATGCAGGTAAGGAGCTTGCAGCTGCAAGTACAGGGTGGGTAAGAAGCTGGGGAGTGCAGTCTTGTAGTAGTTTGGTGCTTGCTAAATGCCTGCCTTTCATCTGCTGTTGACCTGTGCTGGACTTGGAGCTAATCAGGAGCTATCCAGACAAGCCTTTTGGACAGCAGGCGTGTCTAAGCAGGCTTGGTGTGATTTGATCTGTAAGACTTTCCTGTAAGCATCAACCAGCCTTCCAACTGGCTACTGTGGGAGAGAAGTTTTGATGGAATGAGATGGCACAGTTGGGTTTACTGGATTTTTTAAACTCCTGTGGTTGAAATCAGAAAATGTAGATGAAAGGCTTTGGGAGTGAGGGGACAGGGGAAGCTGACCCCCAGTCCACATCAACTCTTGCAGCAGTTTGGGCTATGTTATAATTTTCCTTTATTTTTCCTGAAAAAATCAATTAAAAGGTTATATCAATCAGCATTCATTGAATTTGACAGATTGAGATTCACTGCTAATTCATGGAGCAGCTCTACCCAGTGTGTGTGTGTATCTTTAGGGCTGAAGCAGCCAGCAAGTCATCATCTGTCACTCTGTGTTCTTGCTCCATCTATGCCTGGTATGTCTGGGAGGGGGGAAATGCAGGGGGGAGCCCTTACACAACTGGGTGTGATTAGTGAACATCACAGAAAAAACCAACCAAGCAAACTAAACATCTCTGTGTTAGCTACCAGAGCACAGGAGCTGACAAAAGGTATTTGAGCAATGACCAAAATGCTCTTCTCAGAGAATACCTACACTTCCCTATGGCCACCCCTAGCAGGACTCTGGGCCAAGCCCCAACAGTGTGGGACTCTGCAGCCTTAGAGGGGTTTTTCTACAAGTTAGCCCTGGGAAACATCCTAGCTGGAAATAATTTTCTGCTCTAAAGTGTAATTCCTGTAGCAGGTCATTTCCTAGGGTTTGGGTTTTTTCCACACTTTCTGAAACAACATTGTGAAGGGAAAGTGCTGATATTTATTAGGTTTTTTCTTTTCTTTTTCCTTGAGATATTGCTATTTCTTTTCCCTCACAGCACTCATGAGGGCATCCCTCATTATCCTCATCCCTGACAGAACTTTCAAACCCTTGCTCAGATCCTTCCTTGTCATTTTGTCTGACAGGCAGTGGTGACATAATGTGACAGGGACATATGTAACAAGCTTCTGTAGAGAGACATATGTAGGAATATATATATATGTGTGTATAAATATTTTGGTGGCAGTTAAATGTATTACCACATTCCTTTGCTGGTGCAGCAATGGATGGTGGGGATTTTGTGTGTTATCCCCAAGCTCCCAGGCAGACACGTTGCAGCTTTCTGCTATATTCCACTTTCGTGCTCAACCAGAGCTGAAAGGTCTTTTATAAAGTATCACTGTTCATTTTCCAACATATCCCAAGTAAATATTTGTGATAGTATTATCTTGACAATAAATAACCTGTGCTGCTCCTGCTTTTGTGCTGTGTTGTTCTCTTCCCTTCTGTGGCATTGTGCAGTTCCACTCCACTGTTTCCTACTGAAAAGCTTTGCTGCTGTGACTACATGAGGGCATTTTGTATGTCCATGACCACAAAATGAATGGGTTCTGACCTCACAGGGATCTGATTGAGCTGTTCTGGATGTATAACTCAGAATAACTGGAAATAACTGTGTGTAATCTTATTCCTTACATTATCAATACCATGGTGCAAAAAGCCTGTGTGAACTGTCTTAACCCACTCCCCATCACCTTCTTGTTGGCTGCTCTGTGCCTTCAAAAACTCCTGGCTTTAGGGATTGACGTAAATTTTTTTTTCTTTCTTTACTCTTTGTGAGATTTAATTTAAGTTAGCACGTGAATTTTGTGTCTTGCCGAGTTTACATGAGGGGAGCAGCAAAGGCAAATGTCAAAAGAGGATCTCATTTCTGTCAAAATACTGGGAAGGGAGAATATAAAGGGTATCCTGCGCTTCTGATGCACTTGACTGTATTATCAGCAAGTTACTATGATGGCCAAGTCAGGCCCTCCTGGCTTCAATACCTGACTTGTGAATCCTGAAAAGCCTGGTGTAACTGGGTTGAAGCCTGTTCTGAAGCCT